ATTCTGGGATATGTAGTAGCTTTTAGGATGGTTTTTATTTCACACAATCTAAATCTGACTGTTGTGAAGCTCCCACCCCTCAACTGTCTCAACCAATCAGATCGTTTCTTTCTGCTGTCACTCAGTGTTCTGACACGTTTCACAGCTTGCTTGCCCTGCAAAACTGTGTGTCTACGTGTACTGTATGTGAGAGTGGACGTGTGTGTTTGCTAACACAGAACGGATTCAGCCAGCAAAATGTGTGTGTGTGTGTTTGTGTCTGGACCTGGTTTGTGTGTTCTTACTTTGAGGCCAATGGAAACTGATGACTGCATGTTGCCTTATCAAGCAATTTCACATTCCCACACACACACACGTGTACATCACAGTACACACTAAAAAACACACACAACCACGAATCCCTCCACAAATACACAAACACGGTTCACACACCAAGTTTAAGTTGGCATCAAAGCAGACTCGCTGATTTTTTAAACAGTACCAATGAAATTAAAAAGGTTTTGTTGAAATCCAGCTACAGTGTCAAGTTTTGTTTGAAGAATTTAAAAAGTTTTATTAATTTTGATCTTGCAGTCGAGGCCACGGGAATTTTTCTGTTCAATTCAATTTTATTTACATAGCGTTGACTCATAATAACAGTTGCCTCAAGTTGCTTTATATTTGCCAGAATCCTTCAGTTAAACAGACAAAACAGAAAAAGCCCAACAGTCAGATGCTCTGCTATGAGCAACGGTTTGGCATAGAAAATCAAATTAAATTCAAATTCAAATTCAAATTTTATTTGTCACATACACAGTCATACACCGTACGATATGCAGTGAAATGCTTAGACAACTGCTCTTCAGGAAGCGGAATCGAAGAAAAGAAAAACTCCCTTTTAAAAGAAAGAAACTTCTAGTAGAATCAGGCTGAGAGAGAGAGACAGCCATCTGCTGCTGGTTGAGGTTAGAGGAGGAAGACAGGATAAAAACATGCTGTGGAAGAGAAATGTGTAAAGGTGAGTGAAGAAGAAACACTCAGTGCATCATGGGAAGCCCCTGGGCCACCTGAGTGAGGATTTGGGGCCACCTGATCCAAACTAGAAGCTGCTCTGCTCCAAGAGTTGCTCTGCCTCCCATTTTACATTTAAATACTATAGGGACAAAACACACAGTCTGAGAGAGAAGTGGGATGATACAGTGCTATGAAGTCTTTAAAATAAGATGGGGCTGATTATTCAAGACCTTGTGTGTGACAAGAAGGATTTTAAATCCAATTCTGTATTTAACAGGGACAATGAAGCCAGTGTGGGCAAAGTATGCTCTTTTTTTAGTCCTCATCAGAACCCTTGGATCAAATAAAGATTTTTTTATGGAGTTTTTAGGACATCCTGATAATAATGGAATACATAAGTCCAGCCCTAGAAGTGTTAAATGCATGTGTAGAGCTTTTCTCATCCTGGTAACCATCCAAAGCATTTTATCCTACAGCCACATTCACTTAATTCCACATTCCTGTGAAGTGACACTGCTAAGCACTGCACCAACATGCCACCCTTATTCACATCATTGAATAGAACCTAACAGTGAGTGTGCACCTAATGAACACCATGGGCAAGCAATAAACTCCAAGTTGCTCTCTGATATATTGTAGAGAGAATGTGTGTGAATTTTAGATAGAAAGCGCTTATGCATAGAAAAAAAAGTGATTATGTGAATCAGGGTAGATGAGGCACGATGTACAAAGGGTTTTAAGTGCTAAAGTACAGCAGAATAAGTCTATCTAGCAGCAGTGCTCACACTGCCTGGTTGCTTTTATTGATTCAAAACGACTCCATGTCTCTTCCTTTGCTCAGGAGACCCAAACGAAGAAAAGAGCACCACATCCGGGCAGTAAATACTTTTACTATGTGTCATAAAAACAGAATGCTAACATGATTGGTCCAAACAGTTGAGGGTGGTGGTTTAAACTTCCTTTTTGGCTCTTCAGTCCATCCCTCGGGTCATCTTACACCCTGTACGGCGCAAACATCTCAATGTAATATGAAGAAAACTCTTCCCACTTCACCATGGCAACCTCCTCTAGTATTAAACATGCTACAACTAGCAGGCAAAAAATACTCAATAAACTTTAATGTGTGTGTGTGTGTTTGGTTAAACTGTATGAAGGTAAAGATTAACTTGTTTTACAGAAACACATTTCTTTGTATTTATTTGCAGTCCCTGGTGAACACTGATTCTGCTCTATGATTGGCTGTTTGTAAAAATTTAATAAATAAAAAAAAAGGGAGAAAGTATAAAAGGGGAAAAGAAGCCGTCAGCAGGTCATTTCTCTTGGACTACGCTCGAGAAACAGCAAAATCACAGACTCTGCCTGAAGCAGTAAACTGAGTAAGTAACAGATCCTTTTATATGTCTTTAACTCTCCGTTTGTTTATTTTACACTCAGAAACACTTTAATGACATCATAACCTGAAAATAATAGAGGATAAAAAAAAAACCTGAATTTGAAAGTTTACCGTGGGAACACCTGAAAACAGTAAATGTGTAACCACGGGCATCATTATGAGGGAAAAGGTAAACAGGGTTGGAAAACAAATTATTAATACTAGCTTTTCAACCAGCACAATTTTAATTGGAAACAGATTTATTTAGACTTTAAGACACCAGGATGTGCAAGCTCAGGTAATTTACTGTTATTCATTCATGTTTTGTTTTGTTTGTTTTTATGACTTGCGTGCAGCTTAGATTGAATAACAGAACATATGATATCTGGTACAAATGATCAAGGTTTGTCTTTGCACTCAGGAAGCCGCTGTGGGATCAGTCGACTCTTCTTCAAACCAAGTTAACTGATTCAAAGAAATGGCAGAAAACACAAGAAACACCAGTGGAACTGTGAGCACTGCATACAAGATTTCTGAGGATATGGCGTAAAATAAATGTGCTCATGCAATTTTTATCTTTTCTTTTAGATGAGTCCTCAACCATATGTCTATCCCAATGAAAGCGCAAGAGAGCAGGAAAAAAAGAAATTCAGAAAGGAAGAAAGAGCACGCAGACCCGAACAGCTGTTTGTAAATCAAAGAAAATCGAAAGACGATAAATACCAGTTTTATACTAAAGATCCAGAAAAATGGAGAAACTGGATAAAAGAGGAGTTTGGTGATGAAACTGAAAAAATAATCACTTACAAATATGACACAGACAAAAGCACCATAATGTTACACAGCAATGGAGAATGTGTGATACATGTTTCAAATGAGAAAAGGGGTGAATTTCTCACATGGTTCGGAGAAAAAGTCAAAATTAACGTAAAGCAAGAAGATCAAAAAACAGAAGACCTAAATGAAAAAATGAAAGAGTTGACATTAAAAAAGTAACAACGAAACAACCTACAACCTTGCTCATTGGTTGTCATGTGATTGTTGGGGTTTTCTCTGTGTTACTGCAAGGTCTTCACCTTACAATATAAATTGTCCTGAAGCAACTGTTGTCGTGATTTGCCTCTAAAAAGCACCACCCTTCCACAGCTCACATATAATGAAATATTATGTTATCAAACCTTATCTGTAGAGTGTAAATCAGAACTGCTGTCTGTTGTGAAGCATGTTTGCAGTTTTGTGGGGTTTTTTTTTTCTTTTTTCTTTGAATTGACAAGATAATATGTGTAAACATTTGATTTACTGTGCTTGGAAATTTTTACTTTTTGTTTGCTTCACTGCACCTGTTCAAAATAAATTTGGAAATTAAAACATTTAAAAAAAAACATTTCCTTCTTTTCCTTATTTTCAGTCATACTTGTTATAAGTAATCTGCGAGGGTTAAAAGTGCAGGTTTCAGAGTGTTTTAGATACTCCAGATGGATTCTTCTGTCTGGATACAGAGAAGCTCCAACATCCTTCTCTCGAAATTTTTTGTATATGAGGGATACATGTTGACTTAATGGAAAAGGAGCTTCCATATAATGACATTTCAAAACAACCAATAAAATTAAATTATAATGACAGCAGTTTAGAGGCTGGACTAAGAGCAGTGGCTTTTTGACTGGTTGTCTTCTGTCAATGGAAAATTGTACTTAGTAGTCAGTATAAGCTGTTAATGATATAAGTTTACATGTGATAGAATACTGCATGATGACCTTTTTATGACTTACACTGTTGTCCACTACAAGACTTGTTTCTGTTTTATAAATTCTTTCCAACAGCGATAATAACTGAACATGCAGTTTCACTCCTACCAGGAAGAGGAGAGCTGGACACTTTTATCTGCGCTCCCTAAAAAGAAGAGGGGCCTGGATATCTGGGGCCTGGATCTCCTCCATACCTGCTTCATACCCTGGAGGACGGGGCTGTGGCTCCCCACACTCCCTAGCAGATCGTTACATGGAGAAACCTTTGGAATGCAAGCATGCTGATCCACACAGGTATGCACACAGGTGTACACACGGGTGTTCACAGACGCGGACTACAGCTTTCTTGGCTGCTGCCTCAAAGCACATTGTGCGCTGTCTATCTTGCGTGCTGCACAATATCGTTTATTATTTAGTATCTACTGATATCTACTGCTAGCTAGTTTATTGTGATGGTGCTGTTTTTTTTATTATGTTGCTCTTTGTTGTTTGCTTTCTCTTCTGTTTTTTTTCTCCATACAGGTGACCCAGGTGTTTTGTTTGTTTTGTTTGTTTGTTTTTTTCTTTCTTCCCCCCCTTCTCACCGTCTCTTCTCCCCTTTGGTTTTCTTTCTCTCCCTCTCTTTCTTTCATTCTTTCTCCCTGTCCTATCCCCCAGTCATGTCTGTCCCGTTTGTAGCAACTGAAAATAAAATAAATTCATAATTATAATAAAGGTCAATCAAATGGACCAATATGGCAAGGCCATGATGATCCACTTGGTAAAATAAATCCGCTTGGCATCTTTCTTGGCCTTAAGACAACAATTCTGATGGCTAAAGATCCAAACGGGACACAAAAAAAAAAAAAAAAGAAAAAAAGAAGAGGGGCCGCGTCCTTCAGAATCACACACCACACATATACAACCATGCATACACACATACATACGCACTAACATTCCTCTGTCTATGAATAGACGTATTCACTGTTGTATTACTTTTCTTGTGTATAAATAAAGACAAGTGCAAGAACAGAGCGCGCACATCACAGGGCCCCCACTCTCGTGTGAGCGCTCTGTGACCGCCCTTGCAAGTAAAAACTACAGTGTGTTTCTACCTTTCAGACTCTCAGCTGAAGAAGTGTCTTTTAGAATAAATCTCTTGACATCTTCTAATTTCTTAAACCAAACAAAGACACAATACTATTCAAATAATATATTTTTTAAATTTTAGGATACGGTGTTCTGGGAATCCATCCTACCCGTTGTTTCTGCGCATGCGCACGACACAAAATTAAGTGACAAATCATCCTACCTTTGTTAATAAGAGCTAGAAACATACTCTGATGGGTAAAGTTAAGTGCCAAACCGTCATACCTACTTACATTTGTGCTGGAATTACTCTGTGACAGCAGAAATGTGCATACTTATGGTAGGACGTTTTGCCAAAGTAGGATGGTTTGTTGGGGAGAAGTTTTATATAAGATGAAACAACAGGAAAGGCTGAAAGTTACAACTAAACTGTTTTCTGTAAAAGCTTTTTAGAGTTTAGTAAAGTTTTTCTTTATTTTCAGCATGAACTGAAACAACCTGAAACATTTTCTGACACAAAAAACAGTTAAAGTTCAATTTATTTTGTACCAATAACAAGTGAAACTTACAATGAATTCTATCGGGTGGTGACGTCAAAGAATCATGAGCGGGAATCTAGAGCCTGAATTTGCCTGTGCAAGAAAAAAAAGCCAGGTACTTCCCCACATCACACACACACACACACACACACACACACACACACACACACACACACACACACACACACACACACACACACATAAGCATGTATCAGTTGCATAAAATTTCATATAAACAATGATTTTGTTTTATGCTTTACTTTTAGATGCCTGCTCATTGTTTTGACTACCCAAGAGCAACAACAGATGTGGAAAGGAAATGACTCAAACTGAAGCTATGAATGAAAATCCAAACGTTTTTGTTTTGGAGACAGCTGCAGAGCTGCTATAGAAAAGTTCACCCCAAATCCAAACCTACACAAATGGCCAACAAACTCAAACTTGGCAGCAACTTCATAAGGCCAACAAATAAAGTAAATCTCATCATCAAATTTAATACAAAAAGCAAACTAAATGATAATAGAGTTTTTTTGAGCTGGACATTTTATTAGATGAGAGCAATGACTTTGTAATTTTTAATTGTGTTTGTAACTTATACTGACTGTGTTTGTCAAACTGTAATAACAAACAACAGCCAGGAGAAACTCTGAAACTGCTTTACTGGCATCACCGTGTACCCGTGTGTGGGTAACACATTCCTGCCTTTTTCTGTCACTTTTTGAGATATTTAAAAGATCTGAAAAGAAGAAGGACATTGAACTCTGGGTGTACAGAAGACATTTGGAAGGATTTACATCTGAGCTGCCACAGCGGAGACAATTGTCTTTACTTATTATAAAAGCTTTTGATTACTTCATCATCAGCTTAAGAAGACAATCAGTCAATTTCAGACTTACAGGAAAATACACCTTTTCATCTGGAAGTTGAGTAGAACTCAATTTACAACGAAACAAGAAACATTGAAGGTAAAATTATATCACCACATCACATCTGTAAGTGCTGAATTTATTAAATAGTTTATCAGCATAAAAATAATAATTGTTTTATGTTTTTTAGATGACAGCTCGTCGTTTCGACTAACCTAAAGGAATGGACGATGAGGAAAAGAAAATATTCAAACGTGAAACTCTGATGGGAAAAACGCAGAGATTCTCTATGAAGACACATATCAAACTGGTATAAGATGCAACCTAATTTTCTTCACCCGATCTGGAGCACACTACAGGGCTGCAATAGAAGAAGCATCGAAGGATATTCAAATGGACAACAAACTCAAACTTGAGCTCTCTAATTGAGGCACTGTGTCCGTATTTCCCAGTGGAAAGATTTAGATTCAAGGTACAGAAGAAAACCTTGATGCATTTGAGAAAATGTTTAACAAAATGAAACAACATGTAGACACAAGTAAAGAAGAACAGATGATGAAAACATTACAGCAAATGAAAGT